ACGAATCCTAAGATTCCTATTAAAAAAAGTACTAAAGTTAAACTCATAAATTTGTTTAATATTTATCAAATTATTCTAAATTGTCATTATATGTATATATACATATTAGTATAGACGCTAATGACTATACTAGAGGTATCATAGACTCGAACTACAATTGTGATGGCCGTAACATCAAGTTTTACCATTAAACTAATACCCCTTTTATCGAATAAATATATTATTCAGATAAATTTCATATTATTGTTATAATAAATTAAGCATTATATAATCAATGAACAAATTTGTCTATATTTACAGATTCTATAACTATAGGCATTGAACTGTGTAAGATACCACAGATTTCTGAACATTGTCCATAGAATACTCCTTCTCTATTAATAAATACTGATACTTGATTTAATCTACCAGGATATGCATCACATTTAATACCTAATGATGGACAAGCAAAAGAGTGTATAACATCACCTGATGTTATAACAAATCTAATGTGAGTTAATTCAGGAACGATAACTCTGTTATCTACTTCTAACATTCTTAATCCACCTTCTTCTAAATCTGATTCAGGTACTATATATGAATCAAATTCTATAAATTCTTCGTTAGAATCTATAAAATCTGGATATTGGTAACTTCAATATCATTGATGTCCTTCTGCTAAAACTGACATTGAAGGATCATTCACTTCATCCATTAAATATAATAATTTGAATGATGGGAATGCTATAAGTATTAATATAATAGCAGGTGTTATAGTTCATATTAATTCTATTAAAGTTCCGTGATTTAAGTATTTGTGAGATATAGGTGCTCTTGTAGCAGCAAAATTTCTTATTATAGAGAATAATACTCATCCTACAGCAAATAATATTAATACTAAGTAGTACATAATATTATCGTGTAATTCCACTAAACCTTCCATTTGTGGAGTAGCGCTATCTTGGAAGTAAATACCTCAAGCTTCAGGCGCGTCAAAATATATAAATGTATTTAATAAATTTTTCATAAAAAATTCAAATCTTAAATTTCTAATTATAAATAGAATTGTTTTATTGTTGTTAGTATAAACTAACATCCCTACCCACCCAGTCCCTTATATTGTATACACATTTGTGTAAATTTAATTATGACGAAGCAAAATTAAGCAACGTATAATAATAATAATGACATCATTAATGCGAATAATGCAGTAGCTTCTGAGAAAGCGAAACCTAAAATTGCATAAGAGAATAATTGGTTTTTTAATGAAGGGTTTCTAGCAACACCTAAGATTAAACCTCCGAATACTACTCCGATTCCAACTCCAGCTCCTAAAACTCCAACTGTAGCTAATCCTGCTCCTATTATTTTTGATGATTGTAACATAATATTTGTATAATTTTAAAAATAAAAATCTCGTAAATTGTTATACTTTTTAGTTAGAAATAGAAATTTCACAAAATAATTTTAGCATATAGCCAATTCTAAGTTTATTATTATACAAGGTTTATTTGTTTTCAACAAATGTGTTTATAAATCTTTTAGATTTATAGAAATAATTATATGATTGTCTACTATCTATTTTTAATGCATTTTTACCTAATTCAAATACGAATCCTGCAGTAATTATACCTATAAATATAAGTACTATTATTAAACCATATATTCCATTTTCGTATCCACTAAGACCGAATGGATATATTACTAATATTTCTAAGTCTAATAATAGATATACTAAAGCAAAGATGAAGAATTTTACTCCGAATTGAGCTCTATTTTGTCCTAAGAAACTGTGGAAACCACATTCAAATATACTATATTTTTCTTGGTATGGGTTATGAGGAGCTAATGCAAAATTAAGAACTAAAAATAATATAGCTAATACAGATACAAGAATAAAAAGAAAAGTTACAGCACTCATTTAACAGTTAAATAAGATTTGTACCAATATGGTACCCATGCTTAGCCATTCTTTGTTCATAAATATAAATAATAAAATAACTAATGTTATACTAGATATAACAAAAGCTATTGGACTTGATATAGCAATGTTGTTATAATTAAAACTTACGTTTTTAACAACCGTTCTATTCTGGTCTATAATATTACCTTTTAATGTAAGGTTTTCTAATAAAGTATTAACTTTATAATCGGGTTTACTAAAGAACATTTCTTTTATTATACTTAAATAATATACTCCACCTATAACACTAGTTAATATAGCCACTAATGATAAGAAGATTAAACCTTTATCTAAAGCTGCACTTAATACCATTTGTTTTCCGAAGAATCCTACTAGAGGAGGTACACCAACAAATGAGAATATAGTGATAGCTAGACTTATAGCTAATACAGGGTTTATATAGAAATAACCTTTTAATTGATTTATTAATTGTATAGGAGAATTAGTTTTATCCATTAATTCTTCATGTTCTTTATTATCACTAGTATAGCAATATAAAGAGAAACCTATAGCAATTAATATAACAAATGCGTTTAAATTACTTATTGTATATTGTGTTAAGTAAAATATAAACGCTTGAGTAGATTCAATACTAGATATACCTAAAGCTAATAATATAAATCCTACGTGAGAGATAGTACTATAAGCAAATAGTCTTTTTATTCTAAATTGAGTTAAACCTACTACTGTACCAACTATTAATGAGAATAAAGAACTCATTAATAATATAAATGTTCAGCTCATTTCTGAGAAACTATTATTAGTATAATATACTAATTGTAATAGTAAGATGAATATTGAAACTTTAGCTATTAGAGCTACAAAAGCTGTAACTATAGTAGGTATAGCATCATAGACGTCTGGTGTTCAGAAATGGAACGGTGCCGCTCCAATCTTAAATAAAAATCCTATAATAAATATTACCATAGCAAAATTAATATAATGAGGTTTATATCATATATCTGAACCAGTTTCGCTAATACTAGTAATAACGAATAAGTTATCTAAATTAGTACTTCCCATATTACCATATAATAATGCTGTTCCTAATAGTATAAAACAAGAAGCTAATCCTCCTAATAGGAAGTAAGTTAGACCTCCTGTTGTAGCTAACTCAGAGTTTCTATATACAGTACTTAATAAATATAAACCATAACTTTGTAGTTCTATAGCTAAAAAGATAGTAACTAAGTCATTAGTTGACATTAAAAGTGTTGCACCTAAAATTATAAATAATATAAGTAAAGGATATTCCATTATTTTAAATTGTTCTCCCATTTTATTTATTATTTTTGTGTTATAATACACAAATTTATTTAATAATAAATCTTTCATAGATGAATATTCAGATACTCATACTTTTCTAGGGTAGAAACTAGTTAAAGCTAATATTAATATACTAACTAAAAATATAAATATATGAAATACTTGTGATAAGCTTGAAATTAATAATAAACCTCCATGTAGTCCTATACCTTTAGTAACTACAGTTAAAGAGAATAAATCATTTAATATACAGTAAGCTAATATAATCATAGCTATTCTATTATATAGAATAGAGATATCACGTCTTATATTGACGGCATTAGAAAGTAAAAGAGCTATAATTGAAGTTATTATCATAGTTAAAAATTATATTATAATTCAACCCTAAAGATAAATAAGGGTGAAGCCTGAGAAAAGAATCGAACTTTTATTACTAATGTATGAAATCAGTGTTTTAACCGTTAAACTACTTAGGCTATTAAGTATATAATTATACTTAAAACATTATGGGTAAATACCTGGACTCGAACCAGGAACCAACTATGCCACAAATAGTTACTCCACCAATTGAGCTACATCTACCTTTTAATTATACTAGGATGATTACAACACCCAACAATATACCTATTATCGTGGAGTGATTCGAACACTCAATGTTGAATACCAAAAATTCATGAATTACCTATTATTCTACACGATATTATATTAATATAATATAATATATTACAGGTAGCAAGACTTGAACTTGCACGGTTATACACCCTTCCGGCCTAAACGAAATCTGTCTGCCATTCCAGCACACCTGCTTATGGTGTATTTATTTAATAATACTTTATTATAGGACTTGTAGGATTCGAACCTACATTTTAATGATTAAAAGTCATACGCATTCACCATTATACTAAAGTCCCTGCCCGAGGTAAGACTTGAACTTACAACCAAAACAACTTCAACGTTCTGCTCGACCAATTGAGCTTCACGAGCTTTTTAAGTGGAGATACCTGGATTTGAACCAGGGCTTCTTACGTGCAAAGTAAGTATTCTACCAAACTGAATTATACCCCCTAAATTATCCGAAGAAGGACTTGAACCTTCAAGACCGAAGTCTACAAAGCTTAAGTTTGTTGTGTTTGCCAATTTCACCATTCGGACTTTAGGGCTAAAGTGACTTGAACACTTATAAGTACTGTTATGAGCAGTATGCTTTACCTATTAAGCTATAACCCTTACTAGTAGATCTAAAAACGCGGTTACAGGACTTGCACCTATATCTTTCGGGCATGAACCGAATATGTTTCTATTACACTAACCCGCTTTTCAATTAATTCTTTTTAGAAAATTAATAGACTAGACAGGATTCGAACCTGCGATGGTAGCATTGAAAGAGCTATGTCTTACCGCTTGACTACTAATCCTTATTAAGCCCAGTGCAAGTATCGCACTTGCTTCTATTGATTACAAAACAATTGCATTACTTTTATGCTAACCAGGCATATATCGATATATTTATACATAGTAAATTATTAAATTAGTACTTTATTCTTGAAAATCTCTAGATTCGTACGGATAAAGCCTATAGTTTCGTAATATTATATTACGCATATTTAAGAAATATCTTAAGATAAGCTTCGTGCCTATATGCTTTCAGCACTTATCCTTAACCAACTTAGCGTTCCTGCCGTGCTTATGCTATACATTATCTTAGTGAAAGAAACATCCCATGTATAAAATACATATATATATACTAAGTATATATATTTAATATTGGGCACATAAACAACAGGTAAACCATAGGTTAGTAACTATAATTTAACCTTTTTACGGGTCAAACTCTTCTTGTTCCTTGCGTACAAAAGTTCGTTCTTATTTTATTCTAATTCCCCCTAGAAGATAGAAACCATACTGTCTCACGACGTATTTAACCCAGCTCATGTAACTTTTTAATCGACGAACAGTCGCACCCTACATAGTTCCTGCGTCCATGAGGATAAGTTAAGCCGACATCGAGGTGCCAAACCGCGCACTCATTTTGTACACTCTTGCGCAAATTAGCCTGTTCTATATGTTATCATATTATTATATTTCCATTTCTTTCAAAATGGTTCAGACTATGTCTTCATCTTCATTCTACACATATTATTTATTTATTATTTACCACTTATTCAACCTTTTACAGCAAAAGCCCCAATACGACGTTTTGAGTTAGTTAATGAATAAGATACATTTGATTTAGAGTTTCCTCTAAACAAGACTGAACTTAAACGTTTAAATGATGAATCTACATTCTTTAATCCACCTTTTCATTTAAGTGAATATATAGATCTATCTGCTCTATAACGTTTAGTTAATCTACCTTTAACTTCTAATCTTATACCTCCCATATTTTTGTATCCTATAGAGTTGTATATTGTATTATGTACTTCTTTAGTATTAGATGAATCACCTAATAATTGGTCTAAATTGTTTTTACCTAAATTAGAAGTTAATTTTAAATCTTTATATTCATCTAAGAATAAATCAACATTTTTCTGACCTTTAATTAAAGTTCTTTCTTTTATTGTATTAATCTTAGGTAAATAAGCTCTATTTAATATACTAAACATACTTTTTATATAATTCATTTTCTGTTTCTTTAATTTTAAAGATAAGGCGTTAGTAAAAAGGTCTGTATTGTATGCAATAGATTTAAGATTTATTATGTTGTATTCTATTTTTTTACCTATAATTTTATTTAATATATTACTTAATATAGGTAATAGTATTTGTTTATTAAATTTGTATTGATTAAGAGAATACATTAAGTCATATTTTCTCAATAATCTTAAATATGTTTTTCAATATTTACTTATTATTATACTTCATACTTTTTTCAAATAAAGATTTTTCAATGTAATAAATTTATTTAAATACTCTAATTTGTATTGTAAAAATTTTCTTTTCGAAATTTTATCTGATATGAAAGCATATTCATTTTTTTGTTTATTTAATATTTCGTATATTTTTGCTATATTAGTTTTATATAACATGAAATAACGTTTTATTAAATTAGTACTTACTTTTTTATTTATTTTTAAGTATTTTTTCTTTAATATTTTCTTTTCTCTGTTAACAGCGAATAGAGTAATTATTGCTTTATTATTTGTATGTTTAATTTCAGCATTACTTATATATATTCTTCTTAAGAAATTACGTCTTCTTCTAAGTAATATAAATTTCTTAGAACCCACGTATTTATGATCTTTAAAGTATAAATTAAAATAACTTTGAATTATTTTATTTATTCTTACATCATTAACCGGAATATTTTTTAAATTATTTTTATTATAAGAATAAACTATATTTTTTCATTCTTTAGAGAAAGAAGGTAAATATTTAGTTCTCCCTATATCTCCTACTTTTTTTCTTAAAGCAATAGTTTTAGGGTTATTCTTTAAATTATTATTAAATACTTTCATGATTATTTATTATAAATTTATTTTACTTTTTTTTTAATATGTTGAATAAAGATGTTGGGTAGTATTAAAAGGATTATTGTTAATTGCATAACACTCACCTTATAGTCGTTGAACGTTTTTATCTTAAAATTTATGCTAAGATAAACTTCGCTTCAAGTTTACTATTATTAGTAATTCTTGAAATTTACCCAATATATATTAATTATTTTATTTTGTAAATAAAATATTAAAGGACAAACATCCCTAGCGTAGCTTTTCCAATAATCCAAGATCTTTCCTTGTTGCATCTTGTGATCCTATGCCCTGCTTACGCAACTGTAAGATTTGTAGATAATCAAACAGTAAGGCAGGATTTAGCCGTTGAGCTTTTTAGATATTAAATACATAACTATTAATGCTTATGCAATAATAGCTAGAAAATATTAGAAAACTTCATAATATTCTCAATTATCTCTAATTTCTATATAGTGAAAATCCTACCTAAACTTAAATATATTTACAACAATGCAAATATAAATAATTGTATATGATTAAAAATAGTTAAACTACTTAAAATAGCAAACAAAATAATTATAAAATTTTAGACACTCCTGTTTACTCTTTACAGGGTCTGTGCCCCACATAAACTGTCCCCTAGCGATAGTTCCTTGCCAAAGGGTACTTATTATTATTTAATAATAAGTTGAATTAGGCTGGTCTACTAAAATGAGCTATATAATAATTTAAAAATTATAATTAATGTATAAAAATAGCTCAGTAAAGCCACATCAATTATAATTTACTCATAATCCTAAACCAATTCATTCATATGAAAGAAAAATAAAGGATTCTCATTGTCATATTGTCAATTACCTTATAATCTGAAAATTGTCTATCATACTCTATAATTAGTGACAGTAAAGCTGCATAGGGTCTTCTCGTCTAACTAGAGGTAAGCTGTATCTGCACAGCTATTCCAATTTCACTGAGTCAATCATAGAGACAGCTGTTGTATCGTTACACCATTCATGCAAGACCGCATTTAACGGCCAAGGCATTTCGCTACCTTAGGACCCTCACGTTAAGGCCGCCTTTAACCGGGGTTTCCGTCGACATCAAATAGTAGTATATTCAATTATCTCTGTTAACCAGCCGGCACCGGGCAGATATCACACTTTATACTTAGATTTTTAATCTTTCAGCAAAGTGCTGTGTTTTAATTAAACAGTCGTACAACATTATTTCATGCTTCTTCCTCTTTACCTGATATTAATCAGGAATAATGAGCCCTCCTTATTCCGAAGTTACGGTAGTCAATTTGCCGAGTTCCTTTATGATTGTTAGCTCATTTACGCCTTCGTATTCTCTACTAGCTTACTTGTTTCAGATTCTAGGTACGGTTATTCTTCGTTTGCAAGCTTGCGCTCACAAATATATTTACTATTTTTCCAGCACATTTTACACTAAAATGTTGTCCTTAGTAAAAAAGATTTTCTCATCGTTTAAATCTTTAGATAATATAAACTTAGAGGCCGTTACTTAATTATATCCATAAGCTTAAGGCGGAAAATTTTCTTTTAGTTACTCATGTCACCATTCTCACTTGAGTTAAATTATTATCATTCTATTTAAAAAATAGAAATCGTAATCTAGCTCAACGTTCTGCTACCCCACTTAATTATATTAAAGCTTATTAATACAATATGTTATGGACAAGGTTTCGGTATATTGTTTAGATCCGTTAAATTTTCGATGCTTTTATAACTTAACAAGCGCTCTGTTACGAGGTCATAAAATTATGGCTGCTTCTAAGCCTATCTCCTTGTCGACTTTAATAAAAACCTTCTTAATTTCACTCAACTAATAATTTAGGAACCTTAACTCTTGTTCTGGGCTGTTTCCCTTTCGACATACAACCTTATCATTCTATGTCTGATAATTTAAGACATATCTTTGCCATTCCGAGTCTACATACTCACTGATAAAATCTTTACGATCCCCCAATTTGTACAATATAAAACGTATACACGTCTTGTCTGAGATTAAATTCTGTACCTGCTAAGATATTCACTTAAATTGCCTACTATTATAGGTTTCGCAGAAAACCAGCTATCACAGTCAGTGTTGTCTTTCACTACACCTACCACAGTTCTTCGGAGATTTTTGCTACAATCACCCGTTCGGACTTTTATAATCCTGACCATGGTAAAATCACCGTGCTTCGGGTCTAACTTTAGACACTATTTCGTTATTTTAACGTTCGGTTTAACTACGCGTGAACTCGCATCTAATGTTAACTTGGTGACCCATTATGCAAAAGGTACGTTCTTTTTATCGAACTGCTTATAAAACTACTATTTTTGTTTTTGTTCCCTCATGGTACTTTTCACTATCGCTTATGTATTATATTTAGCCTTTGAGGAAGGTTCCCCATTATGTTTAAACAGTTTCAGTACCGTTCTACTTTATAGGCTACTCTACTTTCGCTCACGCTATTCATAGAATCTCTTTTGATTTCTTTTCCTGAAGTTACTAAGATATTTCAATTCACTTCGTTTAGTATTAGATTTCTCTTAGAGTTTATATACTTATAGGATATTAAATCTCTATTTGTATAAATAATTCTCTTTAATACATAGCTTAAATTCCATAATAGTTTCTTTATATACTTATGTTAATACAAGTATAACTTATATATCGTTAATTTTTTTAAAACTATATTTCTAATAGTTCTAACATTCGGATTATTAGGATTCGAACCTAACTAGCTCCCGCCCCAAACGAGATGCCTACCCACGCCGGCCCTAATCCGTAATTTAACAAGAGTACTTGGACTTGAACCAAGAATTTGAAGGTTGAAGCTTCCTATTTTGCCAATTAAACTACACTCTTTCTTATTATTTACTTTTAATACGTAAACACAAGATTTAAATTCAGAGAATATCCGATTCGAACGGATGTGGCTATTACTAACCGAGTAAAACTCAAACTTACCGCCTTAAACCACTCGGCCAATTCTCTTAAGATTGAATCTTATTCAATTAATTCCTCAGTGGATCGAACACTGATAATATTCTTATCAAGAATACACTTTACCTGTTAAGTTAAGGAATTTTAAGGAATAAAGGATTTGAACCTTTAACATTTTGTGTGTAAAACAAACGTTCCGCCAATTGAACTAATTCCTCTATTACGTTCTTGTTTTATTGTTATGATTATAGCTCCTACCATTGCTAGTAATAATATAAAACTAGCCATAAATAGTCACATATTATAAGAAGTATATAATATATTTCCTATTGTAGAAATATGACTTGTTTCTGCCATATTTCCATCTCAACTGTTACTTGTAACAAACATAACATTAGCTGAATCTAATGTTTTACTTTGTGATGTAGCATTAGTTATAATGTCGTTATATTTACCTGTAGGTAAGTAATATAATAAATTACTTATTTTACTGTTATAACTATTAATTATAGCAATATAATAAGGTAATAATTGGAATAAAGTATAGTTAAATAATATTGTAACAAATAATGCTAAAGGAATACTATTTCAGTTATTACTTTGTAATTCACTTGTTCTTATATTAATTAACATCAGGATAAATAAGAATAATATAGATACTGCTCCTATATATACAATTAAGTAAGAAAAACCTATAAATGTTAATCCTGATAATATTAAATAAACAGAAATAGATGCAAATAATCCTATTAATGATAAAAGAGATGCTATAGGATTTTTATTAGTAATAACTGTAATACCAAATATTAAAGCTATTATACTTAATACATCTAAAAATTCTACTGTATATCCATTGGATAATATATCTTGAATGGCTAATAATTGATTCATTTTTTATTTTTATTGTTTAACCTAAAAATAGGAGATTGTAAATTGTTTTGAATAATTTGTATAGCTAATTAATGTTAAGCAATACGGGTAGTCAGATTTGAACTGACACACGCTGAGTGGAAATCAGAAAGTCTACCATTAACCTATACCCGTTTATAGAGAAAACTTCTCTATAATATCCTTTTTAATTAAGATCCTCAATAGTACATTGAAACATATAAGAATAATCATACAACATCAACAAAATGTCAGTATAATATTCCTCCTTCATAACCAAGATGGTGATGATCTGTTAAGTGATATGAAATTATTCTTCATAAACCTACAGCTAAGAAGATTGTTCCTACTATAACGTGGAATCCGTGGAAACCTGTACCAAAGAAGAAACAAGTACCGAATACACCGTCACTTATAGTAAATGATGAAACACTATATTCAACTCCTTGGAAGAATGTGAATACTGATGCTAATAATACAGTAAAGAATGTACCATAAATAGCTCCTTTTCTATCACTTTTAATTAAAGAGTGATGAGCATAAGTAATTGTTGCACCACTAGATAATAATATTACTGTGTTTAATAAAGGTAATTCGAAAGGGTTAACTGGTTCTATTCCCATAGGAGGTCATTGAGCACCTAGTTCTACAGTAGGTGTTAAAGCACTATGGAAGAAAGCTCAGAAAATAGCTACGAAGAAACAAGCTTCAGATACTATAAATAATATAACACCTAAATTTAATCCTTTTTGTACAGCTAAAGTATGATTACCTAAGAAAGTACCTTCTGAGATTATATCTCTGAATCATAAAGTCATAGATGCTGTTACTGTAGCTAAAGCTAAGTAAAAGAATATATAACTGTTACTAAATAAGTGCATTGATAATGCAGCATTTACTGTTAAAGTAAATAATGATATACTTGTATATAATGGTCACGGAGAAGGTGACACTAAATGGAAAGGATGATCTTGAAAATTACTTCTTACTAAATTTGTCATCTATATAAATAATAAAAATACAGCTTCATACATTTATTTAAAAGCCCCTAAGATGAATCGAACATCTATCATAATATTAACAGTATTATGCTCTACCGTTGAGCTATAGAGGCTAATCGGAAAAGAGGTGAATTGAACACCTAAGTGTATAAACACACCACGTAGCAAGTGGCTTACCCTACCAATGGAAGACTTTTCCTATTTCGAATTAGATCCGATTCGAACGGACATCTATTTCCGTGACAGGGAAACCCTTTACCAGTTAAGTTACTAATTCTAATAATTAATTAGGAGACGAGGGATTCGAACCCTCAAAACAATTATGTACCAAATTTACAGTTTGGCCCTTCTTACCAATAAAGGAACCCTCCTTTATATAATATAATGGAATATATTATATATTAAATTATTGTTAATATTAATTAATCCCGTGCAACTTCCACTACACGAACCGTATTTCGACTTAACACTAATTAGAGCCACGCATACGAAGATTCCCAATAAAAGAACATATAAAACCTACATGTTTTTTTTACTAATTACTGAGAAAGCAAACTTATTGCGCATGCTCTTTTCAGCATGTGACGAGTGGTTAGTACCAATCCAAGGTAAATTCACCGTGACATGGTGATTCACGATTACTAGTAATTACTTATTCATATAGTCGAGTTTCAGACTATAATCCTTAAAATTTATATCCTATTTTTTGAGATTAGCTTAAATTCACATTTTTGCATCTCTTTGTTTAGGAATATGTGGCACGTCTATAGCCCACAATATCAAGGCCATGATGACTTGTCTTTGTCCCCTTTTTCTTTCCAAATTCCAGGATCAAATGCTTTATCGTAAAACGAAAAAAATAAAGCCAGGGATTGCGTTAATTTCATGGAAACCACAGTTTCACAACATTAACTGAAAACAGCCGTGCAACTCCTGTAATAATTATACAAATTGTGGTAAGGTTTTTCGTGGATCATCGAATTAAACAACATACTTCACTACTGGTGTCAGAAACGGTCTAGTGATTTCAGTTCCTGCGTTGCCACATTACTCTTGAGGTGAAATGCTTACACTTTCATTTATAGACCAAATATTGTTTAATAATTAGTTCTTCTTTACTGACAAACTAAGTTATTAAATCTTAATCTGACCTATGGCATTCATCATTTACTGCAAAGACTACTTGGGTATCTAATCCTGTTTGTGCTCTGTGCCTTCGTCCTTCAACGTCAGTTTTCACATAGAGGGCTGCCTTCGCCTTTACCGAGTCCCTTTGGTATCATAGAATTTCATCTCTCCTCCTCAAGTACTGCCCTCTTACATAAAACTCTAGTCAAGTACTAACATTCTAGAAGCTATATTGACCGTCTAGGTACCCTTTAAACCTAATTAAGATGAATAACACTAGTCTCTTACGTATTACCGCGACTGCTGGCACGTAATTAGTCAAGACACGATATATATACTGTCATTATCAATATATAAACAAAGCTTTATTCAATTTTAATACAATCCTATAGATTATACTCTATGGTATAATCAAAATAGGACTTGCCACTTCTCCAAGTTGCCAGTTCAGCCGTTAGGCCATTGACCAAGATTCCTCACTGCTGTACTAACTTGCATTGGGGTTTTTTCAGACCCAATGTGGTCGATCAACCTTTCAGATTCGACTACGAGAGTTTTAGGCTAGTTAAGCCATTACCTTAACTACTACCTATCCCGAAGATATTTATTGTCCTCTTAAAGCGGGAAATATTTTCCCTTTATAACTATGAAGGATTTGCCTTCACTCTAAGGTCGGCTAAGAATATCATTATACTCACCTGTACACCACTTTTTAATTTTAGTTTTACAACATAAATTAAAACGTACGATTAGCATGTGTCAAGCACTTGGACAGCATTCAATCAGAGCCATCACCAAACTCATCTATTTTTTTGATATAAATTTCTTTACATCACTATAAGTTCTAATGTTATAAATATAAGGAGAGTAATAAACTATATAATGTTCTATTTATAAATACTATTCTAATTTAAAATTTATAATTGTTCGCTTTCAGCTTATACTACAAATGTAGTTTGAATAATTAACTATTCATAGCTTACATATTATTTTCTATTATTATAATTTATGACTTTCGTCATTCCTGTTAAAGGATAAATTTTTATTGTTTATATAATTTTCCTAACTAACTTTTTACTCTCACTTATAATTTGTTTGTTTTTGTTATTAAATTAATGTAAATCTAATCCGTCTTTTATATATGAAGAAGATAATACCACAAACACTTGTGCTTGTATAAATGCTATAGCAAATTCTAATCCTGAGAATGCTATAATAAATACTAAAGGTATTAAACCTAATACAAAGAAGATTATACCTGAATTCATTATGTTGTAAACGAATCCACTTAAGATAGCTAATAACATGTGACCTGCTGTTATATTAGCAGCTAATCTAAGTCCTAATGAAACATTTCTAGCTAAGTATGAAATTAATTCAATAGTTATTAATAAAGGTAATAATCCTAAAGGACAACCAGCTGGTACTAATAATGAGAAGAATTTTAATCCATGTTTTTGGAATCCTAATATTGTTGCTCCTAATACTATTGTGAAACTAAGAGCAAATGTTAATGCGAAATGACCTGTTGAAGCAAAGCTATAAGGTACCATTCCGATTAAATTATTTACTAATATAAATACAAATAATGTATATATAAATGGGAAGTAGATTTGTCCACCTCTTGCATTTATTTGATTTGTAACTATATTATGTATTGTTACGTATAAAGATTCTTGAGCTATTGATCAGTTGTTACTTACTAATTTGTTATAGTTTGTTGCAACTAAGCTTAATACTAATGTAATTAAACCACCTATAACTAAGTAGAATCCTATATTTGTTAAAGATAGATGTAAATTACCACCTAAAACTTCTAAGTTTAATATGTCTCTTACTTCAAATTGATCTAAGGGACTTCTTATTTCTGTGAATAAATTTTGTGTAAACATAAGTAGTATATGTTACTACTAATATATATATCTTTAAACAACTAAATACTTATAGTATAAATACTATAAAATGTATATTTATTATATTATATTTTATTAATAAACATACGTGATAAGAATAAACGAACTATTCTAGGTAATATATATTTAGATAATATGTATAAAACTAATACTATTACAGCAAAAGCAAATACTATTTCATTCATGTAATAAAAAGGTGTTAATTGAGGCATGTTTATTTTTCTTTTTATTTATATAATACGTATTTTATTTTAATCGTAAACAAATTTAAAGTATATAAATTTAATTATACACTATATATTAAACTATTCATTGAATAATCTAATACGTTTAATATTAATGAAGGATATATACCAAATACAATAGTAAATATTACTAATATAAATAGCATAACAAATTCTCTTCTATTAACATCGTATATACTTTCTTCTAAGAATCTAGTGAAAGAACCTCCAAAGGCTACTCTGTTAAATAAGTATATAGTATAAGCTGCAGAGAATATTATAGAAGAACAAGCAAGTACTCCTAATACTGGTAATCTTTCTACTATACCGTATAATGACATGAATTCACCAACAAAGTTTAGAGTTAATGGAGCACCACAATTACCTAATGATAATATAAAGAATAATATAGCAAAGATAGGCATTAATTGAGTAGCACCTCTGTAGAAGAATATACTTCTAGTTCCAGTTCTATCGTATAATATACCACCTGCACAGATGAATAAACCACTAGATACAAAACCGTGAGCTAATCCTAATACTATACTACCTTCTAATCCTTGTATTGTGTTACTAAATACTCCTATTAAATATACAGAAGCGTGACACACAGAACTATAGGCAATTAATTCTTTAACGTCCGTAGTTCTTAATGTACTAAAGCTAGCATATATTATAGTAATTACAGCTATAGTGTATATAAAGAAAGTATAATCTAAAGATGCTTTAGGTAATACAGGTAATATTAATCTAAAGATACCATATAGACTTAATTTTAATACTATAGCTGCTAAAATTATACTTCCACCTAATGGTGATTCAACGTGAGCTTTTAATAATCAATTATTCAAGAATATTGTAGGTGTTTTTACTGCAAACGCTATGAATATTCCTACAAATAAAAATACTTGTGTTTTATATTCAAAATTTAATTTGAATAAAGTATCAAAATCTGTACTACCCATAATAGATGATGCACTTAATATTGATAATAATAAGAATAGTGAACCTCATAATGTATATAAGAATAAATAATAACTAGCTGTTACTTTATTATCTGATCCGAATATACCTACTAATATAAATAAAGGAGGTAAAATACTTTCGAAGAATATATAGAATAACATTATATCTAATGCCATAAATACAGCTAATAATAACGTTTCTAATAATAACATTATTATAAAATAAGATTTAATATTTTCTTTTATAGAATCTCAGTTAGATAATATTGCTATAGGCATTATAAATGTAGTTAATAAAACAAAGTAAATAGATATACCATCTACTCCTAAGTAAATATCAAATAATTGTACATTATAATGTTCTTGCACATATTGAAATTGATTAGTGCTATTATTAAATAACATAAACATAATTAAAGATATAATTAAGTTTATTACACTTGCAACTAATGCTACTGTTTTTGTATAGACTACTGAGCCTTTTTTATAAGAGTCTATACTAGCTATTACAATTGTACCTATTACAGGTACAGTTAATAAAGATGATAATACCATATTTAAGGTGCGAATTCATCTTCAAACTTTAGATTATATAATGACACCAATGGACATGCATTTCATGGTTAAAACTTGATAATTTTTTATTAGAATAAACTAATATTTATAAAATATATTCCAAACATATATAATAAAGATGGAATTAATATTATAAATGCGAATAATATAGGTAATAATACTGTTCAACAGAAAGACATTAATTGGTCAAAACGTATTCTAGGGAATGAAGCTCTAACTCAAATAAATATAAATACCATTATTGAACTTTTAACACCTAAAGTTAAACTAGTTAATAATCCATCTAAAGAAGAATTATTTAAAAGTTCTCTTAATTTAAAGTATTCTGAAGATGTTATTCATTCTATATTAAATATATAAGCGTATATGTAATTTAATGTATCAAATACATAAAGAGGATCAAATTGTACTAAATAACCCCCTAAGAATAATATACTTGTAAATATACACATAATTACAATACTAGCATATTCAGCTAAGAAGAAGAAAACGAATATAACAGCAGCGTGTTCTGTCATAAATCCACTAACTAATTCTGATTCAGCCTCAGCTAAATCAAACGGAGCTCTATTAGTTTCTGCTACAGATCCTATAAAGAATATAATTAATATACATAATAAAGGTATACCTAATCATATTATTTTTTGGAATTGAACATTAATATTCAAATTTAAACTATTAGTTATCATAACTATGATTAATAGTACTGAACTTAAAACTAATTCGTAGCTAATTAATTGAGCTGTACTTCTTAAAGATCCTAAGAAAGCATATTTACTATTAGCACTTCATCCTGCTAGTAATATACCATAAGTAGCTAATGATGAAACAGCTAACATAAATAATATACCTAATTCCATATCACCTAAAGTTAATCCAGGTCCATAAGGAATAACAGCGTAACCTAATAAAGCAAATACTAATGTTACTATAGGTCCTAAGAAGAATAATATTAAATTAGCTTGTGTAGGTGCAACATACTCTTTTAAGATTAATTTCAAAGCATCTGCGAATGCTTGTAATAAACCATAATAACCTACAGCATTTGGACCTAATCTTCTTTGCATACTAGCCATAGTTTTTCTCTCTGCTACAGTTACATATGCTACTACTAATAATGCAGGTAACATTAATAATAGATTTTCAATAATTGAAATAACAGTTATAGGTAAATTCATTTTTATTTTTATTGTTTATGACTAGTTATTATAAAAAATTAATAATACAATATATATTGTATTAAACTTTAGATAATCTAGTTGCAAAAATAGCCAAAAATTATCTTGATTAATAGACTATTTATTTTAAAAGAAAGCAATAAGCTTTTAGTCCCATCTTAGAGTCGAACTAAGGTCCTAATATTAGAAGTATTATGCTCTGCCATTGAGCTAATGAGACTTGAAATATTTTATTTATAAATTGTTAGTATATAAACAAATAATATTTCGAATTTAATAATGGCTTGTGCCTTAAACATACTTAAACTAGCTTTGTAAAGGTAAGCTTACAAATGCGTGAGGTTTAGGTGGACTTGATAATCCTCATTCTAAACTACTATAAGATCTGTTTAAATTAGCTTGTAATACGTCAGTATAGAATCCTGGTGTTAATCAAGGATTTCTACTTGCTACTTTACCATCTACTAATTGTTTGTAAACAATATATAAGAATAATCAAGCAGCGATTACACTTACAATAGATCCAATACTACTTATTAAGTTTCATCCTGCAAAAGCATCAGGATAGTCACCTATTCTTCTAGGCATACCTTGTAAACCTAAGAAGTGTTGTGGGAAGAATGTAAGATTAACTCCGATAAATAATAATCAGAATTGTATTTTAGCTAAAGTTAAATCGTAATTTAAACCTAACATTTTAGGTATTCAGAAGTATCATCCAGCAAACATTGCGAATACTGCTCCCATACTTAAAACATAGTGGAAATGAGCTACAACATAGTAAGTATCGTGGAATGCGATATCAAGAGATGCATTAGCTAATACAACACCACTTAATCCTCCGATTGTGAACATGAATACGAATCCTAATGAGAATAACATTGAAGGTGTCATTTTTATAGATCCTCCGTAACATGTAGCTAATCATGAGAATATTTTAATTCCTGTTGGTACAGCAATAATTAATGTAGCAGCTGTGAAGTAAGCTCTTGTATCTACATCTAATCCTACTGTATACATGTGATGAGATCACACGATAAATCCTAAGATTCCAATAGACATCATAGCATAAACCATACCGATGTAACCGAATATAGGTTTGCTTGAGTTAGCTGATATTGTTGTACTAATTATACCGAAACCTGGTATAATTAAAATATAAACTTCAGGGTGTCCGAAGAATCAGAATAAGTGTTGGAATAATATAGGATCTCCACCACCAGCTACTTCAAAGAATGAAGTATTGAAATTTCTATCTGTTAATACCATTGTAATACCTCCAGCTAATACAGGTAATGATAATAATAATAGAACAGCTGTTATAACTACAGCTCACCCGAATAAGGCTAATTTGTGCAATCTTATACCAGGTGTTCTCATATTTGCTATTGTAGTTATGAAGTTTATTGCTCCTAATAAACTACTTACCCCTGAAAGGTGTAAAGCAAAGATAGCTAGGTCTACACTAGGTCCACTGTGACTTTGTAATCCAGATAGAGGAGGATATAATGTTCAACCTGTACCTGCTCCACCTTCTATACATGCTGAGAATATTAATAACACTAGGCTAGGTGGTAATAATCAGAAACTGATATTATTTAATCTAGGGAATGCCATATCAGGACCTCCTACCATTAAAGGCATAAGGAAATTACCGAATCCTCCAATTAAGGCAGGCATAACCATAAAGAATATCATTAAAAGAGCGTGAGCTGTAACGATACTGTTATATAATTGATTGTTTGATATAAATTGAACTCCAGGTCCGCTAAGTTCTAATCTTATTAAAACTGACATTGCTGTACCTAATAATCCTGAGAATAAAGCGAATATTAAGTATAAAGTTCCTATATCTTTAGCGTTAGTTGAATTAAATCATCTTTCCATACCCATAGATATTTCAGATCTTAAATTTAGGTTCATGGTACCTTCTTTTTGTAATTTCAAAATTATGAAATAATAGAGTATTAATGTTTAAATGATATTATTAAATATATTAATAACTAATATGAACAGATTATTGTTCTATTTAAATCTGACAAATCTTTTCATTACTGCAAAATTATCCTGTGTAGTCCTTTGCTTGACGAGAAAGATTATTTGTATACTCTGTCTTAATACTTTAGACTAAATACTATATTTTATTGTCTTTATATCTTTAGATATATTCTATGTACCATTTACATAGTAAATTATTTATGAATGTAAGTATTAATATAAATTTTTATTATTAAGAATTCTAATAAGATTATGGAGGAATTGAACCTCGTACTATTGATTTGCAATCAAAGTGTAAATCCGTTTACAGCATAATCTTTTTATATAAATCATAAAGATTATATAAAATTGACTTGAAGTCATAATTAGTAATATTTTTATATCACTAAAACGTCTAGTTGATTATTTAAAATGTATTATATAGCTTTGTTATTAGCTTGATATAAGTCTATTAAAGTATTTTCTAATACACTTATTGCTGGCATTATAACGAAGAAGTATCCGAAATAAATTGCAGTACTTATTTGTCCGAATTCTATAAATGGACTTTCAACGTGTTTTGCACCTAATTGCATTAATATCAAGAAATTTATAACAAATATGTAGAATACTATTTTACTTAAAGGTCTGAATTGTAAACCTTTAGTTAATCCTAAATCTGCTTTAGGTAATGCTAATAAAGCTAATAATGAAGCAAACATAGCTATAACTCCTAATAATTTATTAGGGATAGATCTTAATATAGCATAGAATGGTAATAAGTATCATTCTGGTACTATAGCTGCAGGTGTTTGCATTGGATTAGCCATTATATAGTTTTCACTATCACCTAATACATTAGGCATAAAGAATACGAATATACTTAATACGAATATAAAGATAAAGATTGTTACTAAATCTTTGAATAAGTAGTAAGGTGCGAAAGGTATTCTGTCATAGTTACCAGGTGTACCTAAAGGATTACTTGATCCAGCTGTATCGTGTAAAGCTATTAAGTGCATTAATACTAATGCAGCTAATACAAAAGGTAATACAAAGTGTAAAGCAAAGAATCTATTTAAAGTAGCATTATTAACTGAGAATCCTCCTCAGATAAATTCAACTACGTCTTGTCCTATTCATGGAATAGCACTAATTAAATTAGTAATAACTGTAGCACCTCATAAAGACATTTGTCCATATGGTAAAACGTATCCTAAGAATCCTATTCCCATCATTAAGATAAGGATTATAGTTCCTATTACTCATGTTAATGTTCTAGGAGCTCTGTATGATCCGTAATAGAAACCTCTACCTATGTGTAAGTACACTAAGAAGAAGAATGCTGATGCTGTATTACTGTGTAAGTAACGAATTAATCATCCGTTATTTACATCACGCATTATGTGTTCAACAGAATTGAATGCTTCAGCTATACTAGGGTTATAATGCATAGCTAAAGTTACACCTGTTATTATTTGTATTCCTAAACAAACTGCTAATAATGATCCAAAATTTCACATGTAACTTATATTAGTAGGTTGTGAAGCGTCAATTAAGTAAGAATTAACTAATTTTAAAAAAGGATGGCTTTTTAATAATCTCATTGTGGTTATTTTTAAATTAAAGAAAATAAATTGTTAATACTTATACAACTTAACTTTATACAAAGTTTTATTTCTTTAGTATTACATAAAAAAGATGTATAGGTATTTTAATAAATTATATATTTAGATCTAAATATATATACTGCATAATTTGCAAATTTGTATTTTTTAAACGTTATTTAAATTATTTTATTACTTTCTTTACTTGATGTAACATAATTACTTATACCTAATAAAACTACTACACAAGTTACTGTAATAGAATTAATTAAATCAAAGAATATTGAAACAAAAGTAAATAGTGATAAGTAGAAACAAATACCTATTAATATGTAAAGAGCGTAATCTGTAACTACTCCATTACTTAAACTAGATATAGTTTTACTTGTTTTAGTTAACATTACTCCCATACCATAAGGACCAACTCATTCGATACTACCTTTATCTAAAACTTTAGTTGTTTGACCTCCTATATCTAATACTGTATTAACTATAAATTTATTATAAAAGAATTCTACTAAGAAACGTTGGTTAAAGAAACCAAATACATAGTATCCTAATTTTGATAATTTAAAATTAGTTACAGCGCTAGGCATGAATTCAGGGTATATGATAGCTAAAGCTGAGAAAGATACTGTTAATATTAAAGGAAGTAACTTGAATATTGTAGGCACAGCAAATTCTGTATCTATTAATATTTCATGCATTGGATGGATAAATATACTATTATCAGTAAAGAATCCTGATCCTAATCCAATAAATATATCTTTAGTTAAATATCCAAAATATATAGAGAATATAGCTAATATAACTAAAGGTAAGCTTAAGAAGATATCACCCTCATGAGCATTTCTATAATAATTTATAGGACCATTAGGATTAGCTAAGAAAGTTAAGTATATAACTTTAACTGAATACAATGTAGTAAATATTGCACCTATTACAGCTATAAAGTAAACGTCTACACTACTGAAATAATATTGACCATAAGCAGATTCTAAGATAAAATCTTTACTATAGAAACCTGTCATGAATGGGAAAGCTACTAAACTAAGACTAGCTATTAATATAACTGTATAAGTTAAAGGTAAGAAAGATATTAATCCTCCATATCTTCTTAAATCTTGATTATCAGCTACAGCGTGTATAACTGCACCAGCACCTAAGAATAGCAATCCTTTATAGAAAGCGTGATTTATTAAATGGAATATAGCAATATTATATGAAGATAATCCTATAGCTATAACCATCATACCTAATTGGCTCATAGTAGAATAAGCAATTATTTTTTTAATATCTTGTTGGAATAAACCTATAAGAGAACTAAATACTGTAGTAACAGCACCTAATCATAAACATATTAATAATACTGTAGAGCTATATTCTATTAAAGGAGATGAACGTATTAATAAATATACTCCAGCTGTAACCATTGTAGCTGCGTGAATTAATGCAGATACAGGTGTAGGACCTTCCATAGCCATAGGTAATCATACATGAAGACCTACTTGAGAACTTTTGGCCATAGCTCCTATTAATAAACATATACCTATAATTGTTATAACATTTTCATTAATGTAAGGAGCAACTGAGAATACTATACTATAATCTAAATTACCTAAAGATCATAATATAACAAACATTCCTACTGTTAAGAAAGCATCTCCAACTCTATTAGTTAAAAATGCAGATAAAGAGCTTTGGTTAGCTGCAATTCTAGTAAATCAGAAACTAACTAAAAGGTATGAACAAACTCCAACACCTTCTCATCCTACAAACATTAAAAGATAATTATTACCAGTTACTAATATTATCATCATAAAAGTGAATAAGCTTAAATAACTAAAGAATCTTTGATTGTGTGGATCGTGGCTCATATATCCTATAGAATAGAAATGAACTAAAGAACTAATTACTAATACGGGTATTAGCATTGATACTGTCAAACTATCAAATTGAAAGTTTCAAGCCATATTAAATGATTCACTATCTAATCATTTAAATAGGTTAATAGAAATAGGATTATTGTTAAATCCTACTTCAAAAAAAGCTATTATAGCTAAAATTGTAGTTGTCATTATACTTAGACAACCGATTATACGACTACCTGTCACACCGACTTTTCTACCAAAAAAACCGGATACTATAGATCCTAATAAAGGTAATATAATAATACTTAAATACATTATTTATATTCTATTGCAATACTTCCTCTTAGTCTATAAAAGGCTACTAAAATAGCCAGACCGATAGCAGATTCTGCACCAGCAACTACTATAATGTATATAGCATATGTTTGTCCTATTATATCATCAAGATTAATAGAACTTATTAATATTAGGAATGTTATAGATAATAGCATTATTTCTATAGAAATAAGCATTAATATTATATTTTTTCTATTAAATACGAATCCTAAGATTCCTATTAAAAAAAGTACTAAAGTTAAACTCATAAATTTGTTTAATATTTATCAAATTATTCTAAATTGTCATTAT